TTTGGCACATTATTCATGGCAAAAAAGAAAGCCATGTAGGAAGTCCTACATCATGTGGAAAATATTGTTGTTGCAAGCTCAAACCCAAATGTTGTCCTCATCAGTATTCACCAAATGAAGAAACAAAGAAAAATCAAACTAGAAATAAAGAAAATTGAGAGAGGGTTATGTAATGGCAATTGGAGGCAGGCTTGACAGAAGGAAAAGATACCCAGGTCAAAGAGACTTGGTCGAGAAAACTTTGAACACAAAAATCATTTTCACCACAAGCACCCATCCAAGCACAGATATGACGCCATAGAATTTTGATTTTACGGGCTGCAAACAAAACAGGGCATCCAATAGAGGACCTACTGGCCTTTAAGAGCCACAAATCTTGCTCTCCCCAGTTTGCCTTGATCCTCACTTCTCTATTTTGTCTAGCTAGTGAAGAAGAAAAGTTGCCCAATCAAAGAGAAGTTGACCTAACCATAGACGCCAATAACACAGCAAGACTGCATCAGCGATGTGAGTGAATTAAGGTGGTAACAACAATTCAAGGAAGAATGAAACCATAGATGCCAATAACACAGCAAGACTGCATCAGCAATGTGAGTGAATTAAGGTGGTAACAACAATTCGAGGAAGAGTGACAACAACGATGATGATGGGAGAGAGATGTGTTTACAAAGGAATTGGAGTCTTTTTTTTTTCATGCAGTCATTTCTTTTATCAGATCTTTTTATAGCATTCTTCATTTTTTTCTCCATTCTTATTAAATACATAAAAAAAATTTAATCATGGTTGCATATTTTATTTTAGGTGCTTTGCTTTCTCAAACTAACAGAAAGTAACATTATTACTGATAGGGGTAGTTATAGAGACTAAATTCTTAGTTTTCTAGAGTACGAGGCTGAATTTAATTAAAAAAAATTGGTAGAGGGTTCTGTTAAGAAATGTCAAGAGAGCAGCACAATATATGATTAACCCATTAATGAAAAAAACAACTGTATGCAAATGGCAGGCTGGGGCAAAATAAGGAAATGGAGCCACTATAACCCTTGTGAATACACCAAATGCATGATCACAGGTACTTTTTAACGAAAAAAATTCATAAGGCTTGTCTTCATATGGAATTAGCAAACTGCCACTTCTTGAAGTGTGAAGTGTGATTACAGCATCTTACCATTCCATTTGCATCTATAGCTGATTGTGCAACAGGAAGGTTTGGATTAGTGTAGTCCCTGAATCAACAAAAGTTCAAATACAGAAAATCAGGAAAACAGGATGACAACAAGGAGTTCAAGCTACAAACAACATAAATAGATGAAATTTTAGTTTGGAGGACAAGCAGTACCACAAACACATGGTAACAACCAACAAGACATGATTTCCAAAGCAAAAATACATTGCACATAGAATACCTGCAATTGTCAAGATACCAAAAAGAAAGGGCTAGGGAGTACCTGCTTCGATGGCTCTGAAATTTTACACTCAAATCTGTATGAGCAGAATATGCGATCCTAAGAGTACAGGGCCCAAGATGTTCAGGAAGCAGATAACTGAAACATAGGACAAGAGAAGTCACTAGATCATCAAACACAGACAGTTAAAACTAATACAAATACTGTGCAATTATAAAGCACATCAAAAGGAAAGTTGTATTTATGAAGCATTTAATGTTCGTTCACTTATGGCCTGATTTGACATCTTTTTAAGTGGAAACATTGTTTTCAGGCAAACAATTCTGTGGTTTTTTAAAGCTGTGCTGAATAATGTTAAATAAATAGGTTGTCACAAAGGTGACAGTCTGTCAAAAGTATAGCAAATTAGTGTTTATTTTTAATTCATCGACACCCATAACAGTTAGACTAAATAACATGTCAAACAATTAAACAACTGTCACCTGGGGATGTTTCTTCCATCCAGGGCATTTTTCGCAGAAGAGGCAGTTTCCACATCGGAGAATTGCACCAAAGCCTACAAAGAACACACTCAAAATGAACTTGTGTGGAAGCCAAAACAAAGCCAAGATTATTTGTGGATAAGTTTAAACATATAGACCTGGAATCTATCCATCTTCTCAAAGGTAGTAATCTTATGAACAAACCCAAAGGCAGAAAATACCTGCATCAATGAAAATTTTCTTTTAAGAACTAGACTGGCACAAAAACAATCTTTGAGCTAAGAAGGCTACTAAGATCCAAAATCTGTAAAGCAATAACAACAACAACAATAATAAAAGAAAATAATTACTACTGTACAGACAGGTAAAACCAGCAGTTTTGTCATCTACATATACTTTACATAACATTTAAATCATAATTAAAAATACAATTCAGTGGAAAACTAGGATTATTCACAATATAGATGCCATAGACTAAAGATCTCTGAAGAATTTTTTTAAACTTCCAAGGCAAAGCTAGGAAATCCTATAGGTGGTGCTACTGTGAGCTCAGAAATATCCCTCCCAAAAAAGCCCAACCATAACAAATAGTATATAACAAGAACAGTAAAAGATCAAACATATGTAGAACACCATAAACACTACCCATCAGAAAGGCTGGCTTGCATGGTTGTTGGCCACTTCACTTTATGCCAAGGTTTCACAGAATGAACTACTTTCTCGACTTCAGATTGTAGAACTAATATGCAATTCAAGGGATCAAATTAATACCATTTCCATAAATACCAGCATGACATTACTCTGAACACCAACAAAAAATTGCTTGCATCTGATCTATGAATCTTTATCCAAGGACATTAAAAGTTGTTTCTTTCCTCCACCATAAACAAAAACTTAACATCCCATGTATCTTTGTCCAAGAAAATGAAGTCATGGTTTTATCCAACCATTCAACATAAATAAAAAATTAGGATCTAAAATAACTAATCAACATCATGAAGCTGGCGTATAACTGGACGCAAAATCCTAATTTTTCAGGGAAGATTTTAAAAAAAAATGAATAAATCATATAGACTTGCCCTGTGTATACACAAAACAACAGAATAATATGTATCATGAACAAGAAAAAACCTCTAAGCTAGCACAGATCATGCAGAAATTAAAGGTAGAGGGTAGCAGAGGACAAAAGAAATAAAGCATCCTAAACTATTTTTATGGTAGCAATAGGAAGTTGAGGAGGAAGAGTAGGGAGGAAAGAGGCAGTGTTAAGGAAAGGAGAAAGGAGACAAACACACATGCGCTCTTTCTCCCAAAGCACTAAGCTGCCATCGAAGATATTCCCTTGACATGGGCCTGCTGATCCATTCAATTCATGTCAAACAAAAGCTATCCAAAGCATGACAAACTACAACCTAAGAACAGAATCGACAACATCCTCAGGAGAATGCGTTTTTACCTCTTCTAACTACAAATTTCTTACCAGGTGCAAGACATCAATGCTGACCAGGCGTGCATCTGCCCCTTCAATGGTAATCAACAACACATTTCCACCAGCATCAGCTGTCGTTTTGTTGTTCACTATTTCTTGCCTATTAGAATACTGCAAGTAAACTGTCTTCCCTCGAACTTGAGCAGGCTCTGAGGATGATGCATAATACGATATCATCGCAATAGCTTGATTCAGATCCGCCTAAAAGAACACCACCAAACAATATTAAGAATAACAAAAAAATTCTCAAGAACCAACAAGAAACGAAAACCAATTACACTCACAAATTCAATGAAAGCTTGATTTCTATTCGGTCCAACATTACACTTGGTATTAACAACATTACCAAACGGCTTCCCAAGCTCAACCAACTCTTCTTCAGTGCACTCCCATGGCAAGTTTCTCAAATGCAACACCTTAGATGGCGGTTGGGTAAGACGGAATTGCGGCTGACTCGATACAGATGACATTATTCTCCCAACAGACACTACACTTCAATAATCTGTATTCCCTCCAACAATGCAATACAAAACCCCATATCAGAACATAAATTTCTCCATAAAAAACATCAATTTTCATTAAAAAAAGTACATAACAAAACAGGGATTTACGCCCAGGATGAAATTAACATAGTTTTTATCTTCCCCTAGGGAAGGATGTCAAAAAATAAAACTTCGACGAATTTGTAACAAAAGGCAGTGCCTGTCTCAGTGAAAACTTGAAGAATAAACAGAATTGAAAAATATCCATAAAAAAGAAAGCAAGTTTAATTCATAAAACAAATAGTTAACACACAAAATCACATTAACATAATTGGGATTCAACCAATAATAAAGAAAGAGATTCCGCGATTATATATTTTTTTCATTAAAACATTGTGCGTAGTTTGTTGCAATTACGAAACAGCAACTACAACAGCAACAACAACAAATTGAAGAATATTAGCAGTGAAATACCTCAGAAAACTCACAGAGCGTAATTATTGACTTTGCGATTATTTTTATTTAGGGCTTCGCAGAGAGAAAAATCGATGCACAACCTTACGCGGATGATTTTTCTATTTCTGCCGACGGGTCGGTATTAAGCTCTTTAGATGAGAGTACGAGGCACTACAAGAGTAATATGATTGGAATAGAAGGGTAAGAGAGTCACGATAAATTTTGATGGAGGGTAGGTAACACCGTCGTGCGAAGAATTTGTTTAAATTAAAATTTAAGTGTGGTTTCGATTTCTTTTTGAAATATGTTGTATATTAAAATGTATTAAAATAATATTTTTATTTTAAAAAATTATTTTTAAATTAATATATTAAAATAATTTAAAATATAAAAAAAGTTAATTTCTAATTAAAAAATTATTTTTAAAATAAACACGGCTTAGTGACAAGATTAATTTTATTATTGAAGTATAAATTTTATTAAAATTTAAATTTAAATAATTAAATTTTATTTTAAAGATCATATAAAAAACTCTCTTATTTACTAATTTAATTTTAACTTTCAATAAATTTTAAGCACCTAGACTGTTTTAGAATTAATTAAGATTTACGTTTTAAACATGCTATCCAAATTCACACCTTTAAATATGAAAAGTTGAAAGTTTCTCTACCCCTTATGATTACACTACGAGTTTATAAATTAATATTTTATGAAATATTTCCAAGATAATTAAAAAAATTATTTAATATTAATTACTAAAAAGATATTTGAAAATATAGTAATAGTTATTTTTAAAAATTATTTTTAATATATACAAGATTTCACATTCATTTCCAAAAGTTATATCGACTCTCTACCTTTTTAATGAATTAATATATCTACGAAATATTAATTTAAAAAACAATATAATGTCCTGGCCTACAGTGAAAGTGTACGTGGGCTTTGAAGCATAATTTAAACCCAGCTGGAACATGATATGGTCTAATATATATAATTTATTGCTTTAAATCTCTCAATTTTCTTGTTCATGCACCACGAGAGCGCTTCAATTTTTAATAGTTAATAGTTAAGCGAGTGAATATAAACTAGCCGCTTATACATGCTATGCCGCAAGTTCTATCATGTTAAAAATAATATTGAAGGAGCGCACAAGCATTTTAAAAAGGAAAAAAAATTGCGATTCATGTTAGAGATAAAAGATAAATAAATTGATTTTTTTAATCAAGTAATAAAAAATAAATAATAATATCAAATAAATTATATTAAAAAAAATATCAACAACAACTTGGAAACAAAATTTTATAAAAAAAACAAACAATGCAGCTCAATTATTATTAAATATAAAAAAATAAAATAAAATAAAACAAGAAAAAAAATAAATTAAACCAATATGATTTAGCATAATAAACTTGTAGTTTAGAGAATAAAAGACATATCAATTTAAGCTAGCTCATGATTTAGGTCATAAAATTTAAATAATTTAGTAGAAAAAAAAATTACTAAGTTGAAAACAACATAAATAAAAAAAAAATTGTGTTGGCTTTCCAAACATGTGACCCCTTGAAACATCCTATTTAAAAAAAATCATAAAATTCAGTTATTATTTAATAAAATGTTAAAAGATTAATTTGAAAAAAATATTAATTATATAAATTGATTTAAAATAAAAAAAAATATCAATTAAAAATTTGATGATCAAAATTAAAACTAAAATAAATTTTATTTTTATTAAAAGATGATAATAAAAATAAAAATTAATTAAACAAAAGGAAGACATAATGTGATGGAAAATAAAGGAGGAAAGGGGATAATAAGAAAAATAAAAAAATAAAAATTAAAGTTAAAATATCAACAATAAAAAACATTAAACTGTAATTTTTAAGGAATTTAAGAGGAAAAAAAATCTTATTAATGACAAATAGGACTATCATCACTAACAAGCTTAACACAACTAAGAAAAAAACATGACAATCCTTTTAAAAATATAATGGAAGAATATTTTTAATTATCAGAAAACAATGTACTCGTCGCCTGAAGAGCGAGGGCACCTTCCATGCACTGGCGAGCGTGTCACATGTTTTATAGTTTTTTTAATTATTATTGTATCTGATAAAATATTAATATCAGTGCTTGATATGGATAAAGGAAAAAATTACATTAACCATAGTTAAAACAAGAAAGATTTTTATTTATTTATTTATATGGGGTGTCCGGGCCAGCTTACGCGCACCACAACTAATCCCCACGGCCTACTGAACATCCTGCAAGCCTAGTGAGCAGGTAAGACACCGCGGGGGTAACAGACGTGCACGGTAAGGCTCGAACCCAGGTGCGGAGGAAGGGGACAAACCCCTCCCACCGCAGGGTTAAAACCTTATTTGCAACAAAAAAGATTTTTACCATAGCTGCTTGTGAGTGAAAATACTATCTACTAGAATATTCTCTACTCAGATACTACTCCTAAAAATTAGTGAGTGAAAATTAGTGAAAGTCCACATAACTAAGCAGAACAGATTTAATGGCTATCATTTTAGTCATTATACTACTCCCAAAAAAAAATATTCTCTATTCAAGAACAATTTTTTTTTGATACCATGAATATTCATCTAATGGATAAATAATCATTTTCAAGAAAATGATTGCATATTTACATATAGATTAAAAAATACTAGTCATATAGTTTAAATTTTAATTAAATTTTTACCACTTGATTATTGTCAGCTAAGTTAATAGCTCACTTACTATTCATGTATAAATTAATTCAAGAATATTATATATAATAAAATAAAAATATTAACATTATTCAAGTGAAGAAAAAGTTTTTGCTAATATATGTACAAAAATGAAATATTTAGGCATATAAGAAATTTTTTTGCTAGGCATGGTTTAATTTCTCAAACAATTTCATTGAGACTATTATCTCAAAATGTTTCCAATCCAAAAATACTTCATATGAAAAACAAAATAGGGAGATTAAATTCTAAGGAAAAGTAAAATTACATAATATTTTTTTTTATAAAACTGCATGTCATCTATAATATAAATAATAATTAGTCAAATTTTAAATTTTTTATCTAAAAATTATCTATTGGAGTCTCATAAATTTTAAAGTTGTTGAAAGTTTACATAGTTATTAACTTCATAATCCATTAAATTAGTTAAGACATGCATAAACTGATCTAATCACACATGTTAAAAAAAATTAAACAATATCATGTAAATAATCAATGATTTTAATTTTTACATTGTTATTAGTGAAACAACTTATGGTTTAAATTAAAAAATTATTAAAAAATAAATTTTGTAAATCATGGCAAGTTTGAATATATATAGTTTATTTAAGATTTGAAAAAAAAAAATTGTAAATACTCGAAATTGCTTGATTAAAGGTATATATTTATTATTAAGTATAGGTAGTCTCATGTCATTTGATATACCTGATAAAATACTTTGTAAATATGACGAAAAGCATGTTTAGGAACATAGTACAAATTGCATTTCTAAAAAAAATAATTTTTTTTATTAAAATTAAATATATTTTATATGTTTTTGATTATTTAAATATGCTGATATTAAAAATATTTTTTAAAAAATAAAAAATATTATTAATATATATATTAACATTAAAAAATACTCAAAATCACACTACCAAACTGATTGAAAATTAAATGAAGTTAATGAATGTGTGGACCGAATCTACAACCTCATGCTCGTACTGTATGTAAAGGCATTTAATTCTCTTTTTGCGGTGAATACAGTGGTCTAACAGTTAGATCCTATATATAACAGTAAATGTATTTGGTAGTTTGACGGTTAAATTTAAAATTGTTATTATTTTTTAAAATATTTTTTATTTAAAAATTATTTTTAATATTATTATATTAAAATAATATTTTTTTTAAATTCGAAGCAAAAGAAAAAAATAAATTTTAATTTTTTCAAAAGTATTTTTGAAATGAAAAAATAAAATGCATTTAAAATGATGTTTTTTTAAATTTTAAGTTTTAAATTTTAAATTATTTTTTTATTTTTTGAATTATCTTGATATATGAATGTTGAAAATAATTTTTTTAAATAAAATATTATTATCAGCTCTTCTAAATATCCCATAATAAACACGTGTATACAGTAGTTTGACGGATAAATCAATCATGGGGCCAAGAACTCGAGGGCGACTGGGTGAGGGTATGTTTTTGACTTGCTAGGCGACAGATAGCCTTATTGCACCAACACTTGGAGACAAAGTTACTCCACCTGGTCCGCACATCACCAGACCAAGTCTTGAATGAATCACTTAGTTGATAAATGTTGGTTTGAGTAAATATAAAACATATAGTTTTAATATTTTTTTAAAAAAGTTAGAATGATATAATTTTTCTTTTAAAAAATTGAATTTTATACTAAGTTGACCGGATGAAAGGTAAATAATTTGTCTTTACAGGGATAAAAATGAATAATTGTTTTCCGTGTAGAACATTTTGGAGAAAAGAAACTGGATGAAGATCTCAATTCACAAGCAAGTGAAATTCATTGAAAAGATATATTTCAGAAGGAGAAAAAAAATGGTAAAAATATTCAGTTTGCAAGGACTGAATTGAAATCTTCTAGAAAAAAGGGGCCAAAGAATAAATTATTAGTAAGCACTAGGAAGACCAGACAAGAAACAGCAAGACAAATAGCCAGCCAGCAACACCAACCAAAATGAAAGAGCCGACAAATCCTCACAAATCCAATTAAAAAATAATTAAAATTCTCTAGCCAGATAATCATCAACCTCACTCTCCAGAAAAGTAATAAAAAAACACATGCAGAGAAGAAAAACAATGGCGATGAGCACTGATATACACCGATTCTTAACGTTGAAAGTCACCTGAACCAGCAAAGAAGAGAACGAAAACGACAGCGGAAACCAGTCAAACTGAATCAAAAGGCAGTCCAACAACCTCAAGCAAAAATCTCCAAATTTTCCACTCGTCCGAAACAAAATCGCTCAGACCAGTCAAGTGGGAAATCTAGAGGTTACCCATTCACGCGCAAGGGAGCCGTAAAGAAAGAGACAGAAAGAGAGCAAAACTGCCACTACAGCTAGCTAATCATGCCGACGAATATTCCAAAATATAGATGTTTCTATCCATATGTAAGGGAGCCGCAGCAGCTATTTGTTATG